CTTAATCATTTTTTCATATGTTGACCGCTGAATAATTAACTGCCAAGTGAAGCACTTTTATTGGGTAATCTAGCAAAATAGTGACTTTGCTAACACGTGGAGCGTGACGCTGTTTGGTGCTGGCAATTAATTTCTGGTAATCAATCGAGTAAACTTTCAGTGTATTGTGCTGAAGATTAAGTCAGAAAAGTGAACTACCATAAAAGGAGAATGTGTTAAGGAGGAAAAGTTTATCTTGATGGGCTACATCTCGATGGTCAACTTAGTGTATAAAGGTTCTCAAATTTTTCCAACCATGCAATTGGATTTTTTAGTTACTCTCTACTATTTCTTGACTCAAAGATGTTTTATGTCCATTTTCCAGGATGCTAGTATGTTAGATGAACTGCATGCTGAAACCTGTCCAGAAGACAAATGAAGATCAATTAACAGTTCCTGACAGTTTTTCTGACATGCGATATATGGAATTCAGAATTAAATCTATTGAAAAAGCACTAATGGAAATGGAGAAGTTTGCAATGCTGGAAAGAAGAAATGCTAATTCCAGACCAGAGGCTGTTATGAGACAGATTGAAGAGTTAAGGTCTGGGAACCACTCTGGTCAAGAAAGTATTCGAGCAAAGAAGCATATGAATGCAAAGCGAGAGGATGGTCATTTTCGCAGTAAGATGCAGAAACCAACACCTGAAATCTCTGAAGAGAGAAACACTACTGAAAAACACAGTATATTCGACAAAAAATTCTGTCAAATATAAAGATATTTCTGTCGATTATATTTTAATCGACAGACATATTTGACAAAAAAAGATGTCGTATAAAATGCAGTCGATAACCTGTATATTCGACAAAAATGTTTTCTGTCGAATATACAGGTGTAATCGACAGATACTTACTGTCGAATATAATTACTATCGACAGAATTTCGTAGTCACATTTATAATTGTAGCAGCTTATATTCGACAGCCATTGGCTGTCGATTAAACCTGTTTAATCGACAACCATTGTCTGTCGAATATGTTTTTTATTTTTTTGAAATTATATTCGACAACCATTAGCTGTCAAATATCTTTTTTTT